TATATATATATATATATATACATTAATAACATTAATAAACGATGCCTTCTTCGCGCAACTCCTCTATTATTGACATTATCTCATTATCGTGTCCAGTGTGGCCAGCCATTTTAGAACCCCACAGTAGTCGGAGGCGGTCAACCAGCTCTTTTGCTTCATTCCAATAAGCATACTCTTTGTGTTGTTTACTCACGACTTTTCTGTATGGTAATGATTTGCTCATTCCTCTACCACCTTTAACTTCATTTAACAGGAGTTGACTCCTCATTTTATGCGGTGTGCCGATTAATGGCTTTATGACTAGCTGATATTTCTTCCTCGCACTATTATTCAAACCTTCTCTGATGTCATAATTCTTATATGGCGCTCGTGTAGTCTCCAACAAAGTGGTGTATATTCTTTTATCTTGATCATCGATAGTTCTTGGCACATGTTTCATAAAGATCAAATCGTATAATCCAGTTGTTGCTAGAAACGCTACGCTTCTCTTATTACCGCGCCATAATTCGATTTGGTCTGCAGGAAATCGGATTTCCATATTACCCATTTTCAATTCCCCTGTTTTGGAATCGATGTGAACGCCATATGTTGTATCATAATTCGAGTTATTTTCTTTCAAATTCCTCAAATGCTCCATTATTTTGCCCTGTAAGTCGCTCGCGGTTGTTCCATCTACAGAAGGATACACTGTAATATCACTGCTTGAAATTTGAGACGAAGATGTTGGTGGTGTTTCCAATAGAGTTGTATACTTAGGTCCTCCGTTATGAGGCGATGATGGTAGCGGTTGAAAGCTATTGCTGAAATTCCCATGTTTCTTGAACGGCTTCGTCGCTACAGCATTCGCCTCATTACTCGATATTGGTGTGGAATAATATGTCGGGTGTGCTATTGTCAACGTTGAAGGTTTGCTATAACTCTTCGGAGTAGCTGCTGGCATTAGATTTTGCTTGGCTACTGCCGCCGTTGCTGCCGCGGTGATAACCTTCAATGGTTTTGTCAGCGGCTCATAAGCTTTTTCTAACATCATTTGGTTACTGGTGAGTTCGCTCTTGAGACTTTTAAATTTATTCCTTACCGCATCGGTTGCTTCAACAAGTTGGCGTTTGAGGTGTATTTCTGAAGCGATTTCACTACTAGGTGTGCTCATTGTGCTATCCAAAGGTTGAATGAAGTCCATGCAGTTGCTGTTTTAGGGGTATATGAAGCAGTCGAACCCTTTCCTATAACGGCCCTCATGAATTTCACTATCCTTATCTATAACGAGAAACCCGTATCTATCTGTCCAACTTTGTGCACACATTTCTTGAAATTGTTTAAATGTTACATCTGGAGATACATGATCGGAATAAATGTGGTGTAGATTCATATCATCCTGCCTAAACATGATTATGAAGTTGGAATTATCGCGAATCAGCTGTTTCGGCACTCTCGAATACGTTTGTGCTAGATAAAAGCAATCCACATTTTTATGGCGCCCCATTGAGAAATATGATCTGATTACATCTTGTTTTTCACATATCACATCGTCGAATATGAAAATACTGTGTGGCTTCGCATCTTCCGGTTCAACAATGTCCACATTATTACTATATGTATAAAACCCCAGTCCCTTTATCGGTTCCAATACTTTCCGCAAGTACTCATACTTGGGTTGATACAACGATTTTGAATAGAGATAAACATTGGCGAATCGTAAACCATTATCGTTGGTGAGGAGGGATATCATAACATTCGTTTTGCCGCAATTTGATGGGCCGATAATGAGACTGCGTATAGTATTAGGTAGTAGGAATCCATGCCGACGTTGTGTAATTATACCATTTCCTAACCCTACTTTTTCATCGAAGTTGTCAACTCGCAATGTTTCTTGCTGCTGAACAATCTGCATTGTATGATGGTCAAATGCTATATAATGAATCGCAAACTCTGTGAATGTCATTTATATTATGAAGCTGAAGCGATACACATCGGCAAGCGATAACGGTGAAAAAAGTTTTCGAGGAAAGAGGACTGGCAGAGGATTTGTTAATACTTTAATTAATAAATTACCGGTCGAATTACATATTCCCGGCGGCTATCAGTATTGTGGTCCTGGAACAAAGTTACAGAAACGATTATCTCGAGGTGATCCAGGCATTAACCAATTAGATAGAGCGTGCAAGGAACACGATATCGCATATTTCAAGCATCCGAACGATTTATCTGCAAGGCATTCTGCCGATAAGGAATTGGAAGAATCCGCGTGGAAACGTGTTAAATCAAAGGACGCATCTGCAGGAGAGAGGGCCGCATCTTGGCTTGTTACCAATATAATGAAGGGAAAGAGGCGTTTTGGTATGGGATGCAGCAGCGGAGTGAAGAAACGTCGAGTGTCGAGGAAGAAGAAGAATACTACCAAGAGTGGGAGAAAAATTGCTTTTGGGTCCGGCATAGTGCACAAAGTTCGCAATGTGTTGCGACAAGTGGGAAAGAAGGGGGCACTCGCCAAAAACTTGGCCAAGACTTCTCTTATGGCGATTGGAGCTGCTAGAAAATTCGTCAAGATGGCTGGTGGAAAGAATAATATCCGAACACCTCGCATTATACCAATTCCTAAAGTTGGAGGAATTCTTCCACTCATACCCATTTTTGCGGGATTATCGGCATTGGGGAGTTTGGCTGCAGGTAGTGCTGGTATAGCTCGAGCTATTAATTCAGCTAAAGAAGGTAGGGAGCAACTCTCTGAAGCGAATCGTCATAATAGACATTTGGAGGCGATCGCTCTAGGAAAGATCGGTAAAGGAGTATATTTGAAGCCGTACCGAAAAGGACTGGGCATTTACTTGAAGCCGCAAAGTTCAAAAAACTAGCAGGGTTACCTCGAAGGGCGTTGACGGACATCGATTTATCACAATACATAGAGAAAATGGGTGTTCCAAACTTTCGAGGTATATTTATGAGAGATAATCTACCAAATTCTCCACCGCGCCACATAGAATCAGCCATTCTGAATCTCGATGGTATTCGAGGTAAAGGGACACATTGGGTTGCTTATAAAAAACGTGGTGGGGTAGTCGAATATTATGATAGTTATGGCGATTTGCCGCCACCCGAAGAGTTGGTGAAATATTTAAGGAGGGGATCAAAAGCTATCAAAATCGTATATAACTATGACCGTCAACAGGATTACAACACAGTCTGGTGTGGTCATTTGTGCTTGAAATTTCTCTCGTCGAAGAGTGGAAACTACGTATTATAATATGGATAGAAAAAGCATCAAACAAATGGGGCACGCATTATTGGCTTACTCGAGATTACGATCTTTGCTGAAGATGAGTGAGAAACAGCTCGCTGATATGCCGAAAGAGGTTTTAATCGGATGCGCTTCACATGAGATAGCTCTAGTGTGGGATAAATTACCTGAACAATTACGCAACGATCAAGATGTATCAAAATATCGATTTTGTGAGGAGCACCACGAACACCGCCGCCAAGAGGATAGTGACCATTCCAGCGCAGATGTCAATGATGGGCCGATACCAAGAAAAATATTATGCTGCTTTTGTCAAATAGAAGATGTAAATGTGGCAACTAACAATAAATTCGATATTAATGCTTCGCCGAACGAAAACAAGAACATTCTTCATTGTTGCAGGCAGCAATAAGGTTGATACTTCTTACTACTGCTGCTGTATACACTGAAGCTTGTTGTTTGGTTTTTGCTGTGTTTGCTTTTCCAATTGTAAAAAGTTATGTCGCAAACATTCACCATTTCTGGAGATCGCAGTATCTTGAGTGCAGATTTTTTTCCACCAATCGAACTCGATGTGAGGAATACTTACGGCTTGGGGTTACACGGTTTCTATTCATACAACTCTATACTCAATATAGATGAGACAAATAACAAATTGGGTATTTGGTTCGAAGAGGGAAGCGTTGTTCTTCAGATACCACCAGGCGCCTATGAGATAGATGAAATCAATAGAGCAATACAAAAGGCTATAGAGAGTTGGACTCCGCTGAATGGGCGAAATATTGATGATGTATTCTCCCTTCGAGCTAACAATAATACGCTCAAATGTGAACTCAAGTCCGAAATTATGTTAATTTTGAGTATTAACGATTCTATTGCCAAAGTCTTGGGCTTTGAACCGAAATATTACAAGCCCAATGTTTTGCATGAATCCACTTTACCTGTGAACATCATAAAGGTACGATTGATACGGGTTGATTGTAATATCACTACTGGAGCGTACCTCAATGGTGAGGAGGTTCACACGCTTTACGAGTTCGATGTCGATGTGGAGCCTGGATACAAACTCTCAAAGGAGCCGAAAAATATTATATATCTACCAATCAGTCCGACAGGGCGTCAGTCTATCGACAACATCACACTGAGAATTTTGGATGATAATGACCGATTAGTTGACTTTCGCGGAGAGAAGATTATAGTAAAATTGGAATTGAAACAGCTCGATTAATTATTACAACGGTTTGGAAAAATGGGTTTCTGCTTCGGAAACCAATCAAAACGTGTATCTCTCGCTGCAAACCCCACTATTCTACACACTACCGTTAAGAAGAAGTGTAAACGGGGTAGAGGATTCATTCAAAGACAGCTCACCGGTCAGGTAGGACGTCATAGATTATCTGCGAGCGATATAAATTTTTTGGAATCTATTGGTCTGACAGTACGACAAAGACGACGACGAACGAGTAGAAATTAGTGAACAATGGTTGTCACAAGTTCTACTAGCTTACAATTGGAGGTGTTTGATGAACCAATTTTCGATCATTCACTAATTAGCCTACATGAGCATACATACAAACCATATGGTTCACCATCATTCAAGAATTCTGATGAAATCAGGATAGCTGTCAACTTTCAAGATTTGATACTCGATATTTCTGATAGCTACATATATATTGAGGGGAAATTCACACCAGATGATGCAACGAAATCCTGCTATCTATCTAACAATACCTTAGCCTTCCTCTTCGATGAAATTCGTTATGAAATGGGTGGCGAACAAGTATGTATGATTCGAAAACCAGGCATTACTACCACAATGAAGAGCATGATCTCTTATGGAGATTCTAACGCTAAATTTCTTGAAACAGTCGGATGGGGAATTGATAGCGAAAATCAGCCAATTCTAGACAAATCTAGTCACATATTCAGTGGAAAACTACCGCTAAAATATTTAATGGGGTTCGCTGAGGATTATAATAAAGGTATATTGAATGTGAAACAGGAGCTGATACTCATCATAGCTCGATCATTCAAAAACTGCTATATAGGAGAAGTTGATGCCAGTGTGGAGATTAACAAAATCGAATGGAAGATAGGACATATTATGCCATCGGATAAGCAGAGGTTGAAATTACTGAACCGTCTCAATAAAAGTTCTACAGCAAAAGTGAAAATTGCATACAGGATGTGGGATCTGTATGAATTACCGTCAATTCGTGAAACATCTTCAGACATTTGGGCTGTTAAAACCACCAATAGTCTCGAGCGACCAAGGTACATTATCATAGGCTTCCAAAATTCTGGTAACACAGATAATAGATCCAAGGATACCACCCAATTCATTCATGCGGGAGTCAACAATATTCGACTGTATTTGAATTCGGAAGTTTACCCTTATGAACGGTGGAATTTGGATTTTGGAAAAAAGTTAGATGCTGTAGCCTATTATGCATACGATAATTTCCAACGAAGCTATTATGGTAAAGACATGAGCGAACCAATGATGAGTATTGAGGAGTTTAGAAAAAATCCGTTATTCATCATAGACTGCAGCCATCAACCGGACACATTGAAATCTTCAACTGTCGATATCAAGTTGGAGTTTGAGACACGCCAATCGAAATTTCCATCTAATACCAAGGTATATGCGCTCATTCTTCACGATGCATTTTTGACATATAGCGCACTAGATGGTTCAATACAGTTGGGTGCTCCTTGAATACACTCTACAGATCTGGAGCAAATTCTAGCCTCCGTCCACCTCCACCACCACCGCCACAGCCGACCATGAGCATTCGAAGCCTATAATTGTATTAGATCAGTTTTTTCATTATTATTATTATGTTCATTATTATTTATTATCATCATGATTATTATTATTATTATTATTATTATTATTATCGACACATGTATCTGCACTAAATTGAATAAAAGTAAACAAATGTTTTACAAACCATCGTTTTTATTTCTTGATTGATAGACAATGAAAAATGCGAGCTCATCATCATCATCCCATAATTTATATATATACATGCAAATGATAATAGTATGATTGAAGCATCTCTTAGCAATATCATCATTTCGATTCTTCTTCTCCTTCCTCCTCGTTGTCGGATGATTCTGGAATTACCCCCAAGTTGTACTTCCGTATCAGGCTGTTTGGTAGGAAATCAAAAATTTCATACAGAAATTGGTCCAAGTCCTCTCCCACCATTGCTTCAAGAAATTCCTCCAAAGTGAAGCTACCATATTCGAACCGGGCGCATAACATATAACCCTTTCTATATTGTTCGGCTTGTTTACAGAGTCGTTCAACTTGTTCTCGATCGAAGCATATGCTCAAATCATAATTTGTCGCATGCATTGCATCACGTGACAAATCAGAGAACTGACATTTCAACCTGCTCACTGCTGATTTGATGTCTTCCGCTGCCGGCCAGAATTGACTAGAATAATACATCCACATGTTGGGGAACAGGAGTCTGTAAATGATAAAAAAAAGTTTGGTAATGATGAGATTATTTGGGAGATTTGTCTTTCATTGAATTCTTTTTGGAACCTAATTTATTACTTACCGCAAACGGTACGATCTGCGTTAGTGGCTTGTGTTAATGTAATAATAATTATCATATAATTTTTAAACCCTTTTCACTAAACTATACTAAAAAAACCTATCAGAAATAATTAAGTAGAATAATTCCGAATTAATTTTGCTTGAAGTCAAACTTGATGAGAGCCCTCGTTTTTGCACCTACATATAATGGCTCACTCTGGCCCAAATATGCTAGAGTATAAAGACCATTTGAAGAATTCATCTCATCAATGTCGCTGTCACTCAGCAACTCTACAACTCTTTTGGGCAACCAACATTTCAGACTAGCCTCAGTTTCTTCATCGTACAATATTACAGAACCGCTCCTACCAAACCTGGTTCCACATAGTGATATTTTCTTGACCACATAGCTTTTATTCAAGAGTAGTGATGAGATAACAGTTTGCTTGATAATATCATTGTCTTCGTTAATTCGATTATTTATCGTTAACAAATCAATTTTAGGAGCTGCCATTATAAATTCTTCTTTGTTGAGTGAAAAGAGGTGTAAAAAGTATATAAATAATTTTTACTTACATATAACAGTTCACGTACACTTTTATTGCAAACACTTTATATTCCCAATCAATTTGAGCGGGTATATTTTTTATGTGCGAGTTGGTGGTGCGTATCTTCCGTATTATTAGGAGAACTATGCTCTCGCAGACGATACAATGATGTATTTATAGGAACTGGGATATGTGACGTAACACAGCACCCCACTTCTACCAAAACGACCTCGACCAGCCTACTCCCATTTTCAAGGTCGCACACGCTTTCACCTCCCTCTCCAAGGTCGAGGTCTCTCTCTCTCTCTACAACTCAAGGTCACTCGTTCCCAAGGTCACATATGCGAAGGTTACTCGTACAACCTTCCTTCAAGGTCACTTTGTCTCGCCCTCAAGGTCACCTCCGCGTTCAAGGGCGTGCTGTCGACACTTCACTATACGAGGTTACTCCCGCCCAAGGTCAGACCCGTTCAAGGTCACTCCCGCCCAAGGTCACTCCCGCCCAAGGTCACTCCGCCCAAGGTCGGAGGACGGTGACCTAGGGCGGAGAGCCAGAACCGGCCAATCTTTACTACTAATATAATTAGGGATTGTTTCCACTCATATGATTTCGTTGAACTAGTTAAAGAACCGACCAGGGGTAAAGCTCTATTAGATCCAATTTTCATTAATGATAAGGACATCGCTATAAGCGGAGGCACAATAAGTGGGGATCTGAAATCGGATCACAGTCTCTCTCACTGTATTGATGATTTAGAATCAAATGAAAAAGCTAAAAATAAATTCGTCACATACAGGGATTACTCAAATTTTAATTCTGAAGCTTTTCAAGAAGATCTACATAAACTACCATGGTTTGAACTCTTGAATGAAACTGAGCTAGATAGAAAAGTGGAAATTTTCAACGGATTTTTATTCCAAGTTTTTGACCTTCATGCTCCAAAACGATCGGCTAAAGTTACAAAACCACGTGCTCCTTGGCTAAATCAACACTTGAAGGATGCGATAAAGATGCGAAATAAAGCACTGAGTAAATTTAAAAAATCTCGCTTAGATGGTGACTGGGAGGACTATAAAAGATTACGTAATTCGACACTTACGCTCATTAGGAATGAGAAAAAAGCATATATTGATACTTTTTGTAGAAATAATGATAGCAGACGTGTTTGGAAGACATTAAGAAATCTTAAGGTGGCTCAGAACAAAAGTAATTCAATTCCTGACGATATTTCAGATCCTAATAAAATTAATGATTTCTTTGCTCAAATTTGGTCTGGTTCGTCGGATGATATCTGTACGGATGCTATTGCTTTTTATGAGAATGATGATTCATTTCAAGGAGCTGATAATTTTCAGTTCAAGATGATCAGTGTGGAGCAAACCCATGATTATCTTTCGCAAATTGAATCTGCAGCTTATGGTATTGATGATTTATCAATCAATATGATTTTACACTGCAGCCCCTTCATTGACCCTTTCATTACACATTTAATTAATTACTCTATCGAAAAACAAACATTTCCTACACTATGGAAAATTTCTCTGGGGCGCCCTTTACCAAAAATATCTAAACCTACTACTCTATCAGATTTGAGAATAATTAGTATTTTACCGTGTCTTTCAAAAATTCTAGAGAAACTCATGGCTGCGCAAATCACTGATTTTGCCAAGGAAACGAACATTATTCCATCATCTCAAACAGGTTTTCAAAAAAATCTTAGTACCTCCGATTCACTTGTCAGAGTGTTAGATGATATCATTGCAGGATTAGACAAAAAAGAAAGCTCCGCACTTGTTCTACTTGATTTTTCACGAGCATTTGATACAATAAATCACAAACTCCTCCTGGCAAAATTGACTTTCTATGGATTTTCTCATGATGCTTTATTATTGATAAAATCTTATTTCAGTAATAGAAAGCAAAAAATATTATCCAACGGTAATCAGTCTGGATACGTTAATATCACAACAGGGGTTCCCCAAGGTAGCATTCTTGGACCACTATTGTTTATAATTTATACAGCTGATATTTTGAAATCTATAAATAAATGCAGTGTATGTGCATACGCAGATGATACACAAATTGTCATTAAATTCCCTGTTGATAAGTTAGAGCAAGCGCAACTTGATCTCAATTACGATCTCAACGTTATCTCCTCTAAAAGTTCATCACATAATCTGAAACTGAACTCTACAAAATCGAAGTTACTAATTTTTTCACCTCGCAATCAGTACGAATATATCAAATCTAATCTTTTAGTTAGCATCAATGGAACTCAGATAAACGTTGAACACTCTGTGAGAAATTTAGGATTGGTGTTGGACGATGATCTTAGTTTCAAATGCCATATAAATAATTTACTTAAAAGGAGTTTTACATCGTTGAAAGTTTTATATTCCAACAGATATATACTGAACCCAAAGTTACGTAAACAATTATCTGAGAGTCTAGTTTTATCCCAGTTTACGTACTGTGACTTTCTTTATGGACCTTTTCTGGATGCAGCGTTCAGAAACAAGATACAGAAAGTACAAAACTACTGTATTCGATTCATTTTTGGTCTCAGAAAATATGATCATGTTAGTCAAAAATTAAAAGAGCTCAATTGGCTAAATATGGAGAGTCGTAGAAAGTTACACTTGGCAACTTACTTACAGAAAGTCATGCAAACAGGTCCGGTGGACATAAAAAGTAATCTAGTTCCACGGTCTCAAGTTCATTCCGTGAATATAAGAAAAAAGACAACCATAACAATTCCGCATCATTCGACAACTCTCTTTCAGAAAGGATTCAATTACAATGCTATTAAATTGATCAATTCATTACCTGACAATATGATGAACCTTAGTAAGTCTGCTTTCAAGCATCGTTTCAAGCAGAAGCTCTTATCGGACCTACCGATCTAATCAATTATTCTGATGTGCATGGTATGATTCAAAGATGTAGTCTGTAATAATTTAGTAAAATCATGTAATGTAACCATGTCATTATCATATAATCTTTTCTTACATGCTATCTTATATTATATTATGCAGATCATTATGGGGTTAGATGTAAGAGTAGCCTAGCTAAATTTCGCCCCTTAATGATCATAACAATTGTATTTGTTTTCATCATACTTTCATAAATAAAGTCGATTTATTATTATTATTATTATTATTATTATTATTATTATATTTGTTTTCAAAAAACTGCTTGTTCACCAAACTCACATTAACTGAGTCTTTTGCAATTTCTTTCTGAGTCAACATGCTGTTTTCCAATGCGCGACATATAGAGATAGCATCGTTCAGTCCGAGATCAGGATTTTGCAAGAGTTTCTCTTGTATTCGGGAATCACGCACTCCTAACACAATTTGGTCTCTTATCAGCACATCTTCTTCCTTGAAGTCACAAGATCGTGTTGACGATAAATATCTTGAGGCAGTTATAAACTGATCGACAGATTCTCCAGGAAGTTGTCCTCTTTTGAAAAACTCATAGTGCTCGAACA